TAAAAACTATTTTCACAAGTGTTTTTTGATTTTGAAATTGAAAGATTTTACATGTGGTGTGGGTTTACAGCTATATTACTATTTTTATAAATTTTCTGACTTAAAGGGAGAACTTGTAATTTTATTTGACATACAAATTTTTTTAAATGGTAATTTGATCCAACAATAACACTTGAAATTTTGAAATTGTATTTCGAAATTGCAATACATATGGTGCCCCCTCCAGGCTGCCCATTAGGATTGGGTCCATCAAGTCATTTATGTAAAAAATTAAATTAATTAAATATCGACAATACATGATGAAATAACATTTGTCTTAAAGAAAAATAAAAGAAGTCTAATTTCAAAATCACATTAACTGTCCATTTTTCTTTAAAAAGACAAATGCCGTCCGATCATGTAATTGTTGATGTCTAATTAAACTAATATTTTTGTATAACCGTTTGGAGTATTTCATAAGATCAAACATCAGGATGCAAACAAGATAATAAACAACTACCAACATCCACGGACACATGTCCGGATCACTGTTCAACAAAGGTAAACCCGGGATCGCTATATTTCATCTCATATTTTAGGTGATGTTTGATAAAAACGTGAAAGCTAAATGTTAGTGAAAGACTCTAAAACCATATGCAAGTTATGACATTTATGAGTTTCATCACCACAATTGTCCTAACTCTATGAGAGTCATAAAAAATAAAAATAAGTCATAAACTAACATCATAATGTGTACGACCAAGTTGTAATTAATACCCCAATATGTCACAATCAAGGATTTTATGTCAAAACCAAAACCTCAAGGGTCATAACTAAAAGGACGTATACCATAGAATTTTCTAATTAATAATAAATATGAATGTTTTTTTTTTAGTCTTAAACAATTTTTAAAATTTCCCAACCAAAAAAAAAAAAAAAAAAAACTTTTTTAAAAATTTAAAATCTTCATCATTATTCTCACTTTATTTCTCAATCATATTATAAAAAAAAAATTACAACAACAAAAAATCTTAAAGTTTGATTATTATAACAAAATAAATTCTAAATTTTTAATTTTATTAATTTAAATTTTAAACTTTTAATTTATTTTATTATACTTACATTAAATTTAATAGTTAAAATATTTTTTTTATCAACTTCACCAACATTGAATTCAAACTTTAAAATTTTAATTATATCTATGCTGAACAAATAGAAGCCACCAACACGCTCTATTTAGAAAATCTAACTCAAGATTAGAAGTGTAAAATTGGCCCGCGACCCGTGGGTAACTCAATGCCCGCCCATGGCTCAAGGTGGGCCCGACTCATTTAGGCTCGGGCCCAAACTCAACCTGAGACCTTGGACCTAGGCCTAGGCCTAGGCCGTTATTTTGAAATCAGATCGGGCCCGTGGGCCAGGCCCGACCAAATTTACACCCCTACTCAAGATAAGTGTTTCCCTTCTACTATATTTATATTTGTAATAATGATACATAATTCTAATATAGGAGCTCTAAATGAAACTCTAGTGAGGTGAAAGAAAGAGAGACAGAGAGAGAAGTGTAGGTCCCACCTTTACATACTCTCCACATCATTATAGCTACATTAGAGCTTTCAAATATTATTCTTATATTTATTATATGGGCAATGATACAGAGCTCTAAATTGAGCTCTACTGAGATGGCAAGGAAAAAAAAATAAAAACACCGACACACACATCAAATCATAAGTGGGGCTCATTTATTGCAGCTTTCTTTTTAGAGCTCCAAATCATTTTTGTTAAAAGTAGAGCTTTAAATTAAGCTCTATTGAGGTGGCAAGGAAAAAAAAATACAAACAAAAATGCTTTGGAGCTTTAAATATGGAGCTCTAGGGGGAGCTCTAATGAGCTGACTCCCCCATGATGTGATGGTTGTGCCTGCATTTTCTTTATTCCTTTTCTTTTTCTTTTTCTTTTTCTTTTTTTGAATTTTTAGTTCATTAGAGTTGGTTTAGTGCTTCTTTTTTAGAGGATGTGTCATGATTGAAATACAAAAACACACACAGAGGCATACACATCACATTATAAGTGGGGCCCACTTATTAAAGCTTTCCTAAAGCTCTCTTTTTAGAGTTGCAAATCATTTTTGATATCAGAGTTGATAAAAAGCTCTAATAGAGGTGCTCTAAAAGCAGCTCTGTTGAGCTGTCAATGCACCCCCAAAAAAAATGAAGGAAAAAAACAAAACACAAGAAGGAAAAAGACAAATTAATGTTGTTTTAAAGCTCTTCTTTTAGAGCTCTAAAACATTTTTCTTTTGATATAATATATAGATATTGATATTGATATTGATATGAATCATGATATGATTTCTTCCACTCTCTCTCTCATTTAACAAACTTCACAAAGCCAGAACACAGAATCCGTGTGCTATCAACATTTGTCAAAAATATTTTATTTATTTTCTGTTATTTTGTTGAACAAAAAGTAAGTTAAATAATTTTGAAGAAAATTTTTTTTGTTTAATTTTTTTAAAAATGACTTATCTTTAAAAAATTCATAAGTTAATTTTTGCAAAGTTAACTCTCACTCGTTACCATTTCAACACATTTAACCTTTTCAAATAAATATACTAGCTCACTAAAAAGTCGTAAATTACACTTAATTAAATTAAAATTCTCTAAGCAGAAAAACAATAATAAAAATATTTTTTTTGTAAAATATTACATCAACATAAACGGAACCTCAGTGAAAAACTTTGTTACATTAATAAATAAATCTATAAACTTTTCCATCAAATTGAGATTATTTTATAAAATTTCTACTGAAATGTTATTTTCTCATTATACAATTAAATTCTTAATGGTAATACTACAAATTAAACTTAATAATCCCTTATTTAGAATTATTATTTTGTGATTTAGATTTATTCTTTACACATGGACGACACACTACATAAATTTAATTTCACCCACGTAAATCTCATTCGAGATATATCCAAAATACTTAGATGAGATTCATAGCATTTTTCAATACTTAATTGTGATTCAGATTCTAGTGCTCAACTTGCTAGAGTTTGGCACTCTAGCACTAGAATATGGCTGAGACAGTTCCTCCTTGGGAATGTTTTGTGACTTCAAGAGTACTGCTGCTCAAGGGAATTTTGTCTTCTCATGGAACCCAAGGTCAGCAAACACAGTTGCTCACTGGGTGCCCATGCTTCCCTCCATGACCAGCTCCATCTCTAGCAATTTTGTTTGGGAATTGTTAGTTTTGTTCTGTTTTGTTCTTGTAATTTCTCTGTTCCAAAAAAGAAAAAAACCTTGCTAGAGTTAAATTTCCGTCACACAAAAATTCAGAGTAGATGGGAATTTCTACTCATATAATTAAAATAAAATAAAATCAAACTGTATGAAATAAAAATGGAAATTTTTCGCTAGTAAAATATTTGGTCCTTAAAAAGTGATTTTAATCATAAATTTTTATCCTTAAAATCTAAATTTATTATAGTATCCATTTATCTAAAATTATAATTTATTTTATATTTACTGATTAATCGTACTTCATTATATTCCGTTTGTAGTCCAAAAACTCACTACATATATATATGTGTGTGTATATATATATACATACCTACCTAGCTCGTCAGCTCCATCCCCAATCATATATTATTTTGACAACAAATGGAGCAAACAAACACTTTTCTCAGTTGGCTACTAAATACATGTATACTTTGTTTCATTTTCTTTTTCATGAACTCTCTTGGATTGATTGCCACTCCCTTGGGCACCCCTAGTTTCATCCCCACAAATGAGACAGACCATCAGGCCCTGCTTGCAATCAAGGATCTTATACCTCTAGATCCTCTTGGTGCCTTAAGCTCATGGAACCACTCTATCAACTTCTGCAATTGGCAAGGGGTCACATGTAGTCGTCAACATCAGCGTGTCACTATCCTAAACCTGTCATCTCTAGGATTGGCGGGTTCTGTATCATCTCACATTGGGAACCTCACCTTACTTCGGAGTATTGATCTCCATAACAATTTTCATGGCAATGTCCCCCCAGAAATTGGCAAGTTGTTTCGTTTCGTTTGCAATATCTTTGGCTTTTTAATAACTCTTTCCAAGGTGAATTTCCTACAAATTTGACTCATTGCTCAAACATGAGAGTCATCAATATCATTAATAACAATCTTAAAGGTAAAATTCCTATGGAGTTGGGTTCTTTGCCTAATCTCTTGGAATTGAATCTTGCTAAAAATTATCTCACTGGAACAAACTGTATGAAATAAAAATGGAAATTTTTCGCTAGTAAAATATTTGGTCCTTAAAAAGTGATTTTAATCATAAATTTTTATCCTTAAAATCTAAATTTATTATAGTATCCATTTATCTAAAATTATAATTTATTTTATATTTACTGATTAATCGTACTTCATTATATTCCGTTTGTAGTCCAAAAACTCACTACATATATATATGTGTGTGTATATATATATACATACCTACCTAGCTGGTCAGCTCCATCCCCAATCATATTTTATTTTGACAACAAATGGAGCAAACAAACACTTTTCTCAGTTGGCTACTAAATACATGTATACTTTGTTTCATTTTCTTTTTCATGAACTCTCTTGGATTGATTGCCACTCCCTTGGGCACCCCTAGTTTCATCCCCACAAATGAGACAGACCATCAGGCCCTGCTTGCAATCAAGGATCTTATACCTCTAGATCCTCTTGGTGCCTTAAGCTCACGGAACCACTCTATCAACTTCTGCAATTGGAAAGGGGTCACATGTAGTCGTCAACATCAGCGTGTCACTGTCCTAAACCTATCATCTCTAGGATTGGCGGGTTCTGTATCATCTCACATTGGGAACCTCACCTTACTTCGGAGTATTGATCTCCATAACAATTTTCATGGCAATGTCCCCCCAGAAATTGGCAAGTTGTTTCGTTTCGTTTGCAATATCTTTGGCTTTTTAATAACTCTTTCCAAGGTGAATTTCCTACAAATTTGACTCATTGCTCAAACATGAGAGCCATCAATATCATTAATAACAATCTTAAAGGTAAAATTCCTATGGAGTTGGGTTCTTTGCCTAATCTCTTGGAATTGAATCTTGCTAAAAATTATCTCACTGGAACTATCCCACTTTCACTTGGAAACCTTTCAACTCTTCATAAACCTTCTCTATCGCACAATAATCTAGTGGGAAACATTCCCTCCCAACTTGCTCAGCTTTCAAACTTGGGGAATCTTTCGCTGTCTTTTAACAATTTGCCTAGTATGGTTCCTACTTTTCTTTATAACATATCATCCATCACTTTCATTACTGTATCTCGCAACGTATTGCAAGGAAGCCTTCCTCCATATTTGGGTTTGACCCTTCCAAAATTGCAAGGGTTTTATGTTGCTAGCAACCAATTCTATGGGCCTATTCCCTCCTCGCTAACTAATGCTTCGGGACTCTTTCAAATTGATACTAGCACGAATTCTTTTACCTGGCCCCTACCAATGAATTTGGGAAACCTTCATGAGCTGCAAAGGTTAATTTGTTTCAGCAATGACCTAGGAGAAGGAGACAACAAGGGCGATGAATTGACGACTTTTATCATTTCTTTATCCAATTGCTCCAATCTAGAAGTGTTGGATTTGGCTTCAAATAGTTTCAAAGGTTTCTTGCCCCATTTCATTTCAGATCTCTCCACCAACATCACATGGTTCACTATAGACGACAACTATTTAACTGGAAGCATACCTCTTGGGATTGGAAACCTTGTAAATTTGCTTATGTTCGTGCTTCAAAACAACATGCTCATAGGTAGTATTCCCGATTCCATTGGAAAACTCTCCAATTTAGGAAAATTATTGCTTGATATGAATAACATCTCTGGAGAGATTCTTTCCTCTATTGGAAACCTTACTCAACTTTCCATTCTTTCCTCACAAGATAATATGATAGGGGAAAGCATACCTATTTCTTTGGGCAATTATTCCAATCTACTTGGAATTAACCTTGGATACAATCACCTCATTGGAACTATACCTCAACAAATTTTTGGTATTTCTTCCCTCATTATTTTCTTAAATCAAAATTACTTAACTGGTCTGCTAGCACTAGAAGTGGGTAACTTGAGAAATCTAGGAAAACTAAATGTATCAGAAGACAAACTATCTGAAGAAATCCTTGCTACTCTTGGTAGTTGTCAAGTTTTAGAATTCCTCTACATGAAGGGTAACCATTTCGAAGGTACGATTCCGACATCCTTCAAACAACTAAAAGGTCTTCAAATCCTAGATGTTTCTCACAGTAACTTGTCTGGACAAATTCCAAGGTTTCTAGCTGAATTTCCTTTCCTTCAAAATCTCAATCTTTCTTTCAATATGTTTGATGGTGAAGTTCCAAATGGAGGAGTTTTCAAAAATATTAGTGCCTTCTCAATTGCTGGAAATAACAAACTTTGTAGAGGAATTAAAGCATTGCAATTGCCAGCATGTCTAACAAAAGTCTTGAAGGAAAGGAAACGAACATTCACCCCTAGAGTAATAGCTCTAGTAGCCACTCTCAGTGTCGTTTTATTATTAGTTTGCTTTTTAGCTATTCTTTATCAAACAAGAAGGTCTAGACAACAAGCCTCTTCAACTTTGGCCTTCCAAAATCAATTTTTACAACTCTTTTATAGAGAACTTTTTCAAGCAACCAATGGGTTCTCCGCAGCCAACTTAATAGGCAAGGGAGGATGTGGTTCTGTTTATAAAGGTTTTCTCAACTCTGGTGAACAAATTTTCGCTGTGAAGGTACTCAACCTTCATGAGCATGGAGCAACCAAGAGTTTTGTAGTTGAATGTGAAGCACTGAAGAACATTCGCCACCGAAATCTTGTCAAGATAATCTATCACAACCCCATTTCGCCCCTGGTAGAATGGTGCCGTGATGGCCAGTAACCCGAGATTACCAAAGGCCAACTTACAAAGATTCACACAAAATCAGAGTAGACATATGGGGCTTACATGTGCGAAAGCAATATATTTAAATCTAAGTAGTCCATAAGAGCTGTGCATAGATCAAATGAAATGACATACATCTTAGCATGGTTTTACAACTTGAATACAAATAAAATAAAGTACATGTTACATCTTGATCAAAAGGCTTCTTAAGCCGACATATACAAAATACATGAAATATAAAGTCAATAAGCATAATCTTCAAGATGTTGACATAATATGAATCCAAAAACATCTTGCAAAACAACACATCTAGGCGTCACCGCCTTCTTGCTTGCCACCTACATATATATATAAGGAGAGGGTGAGCTTGGATACTCAGTGAATGATATTAGTAATAAAGGTTTAAATGAATGATATCCGAGATCTTTATCAAAACAATACATATCATAGCTTGTAACAAAACGTGGGATGAATCAAGTTCATCAATCATGGTCTTTCAAATCTTATTGGGATGTTTAATAACATCTACATACAACATGGGGGATGGCATTCCGGACAAAACAAGGGAATAATCGACCCGGAATCGATTAGACAAATCCACCCGTACACCAAACCGTCGGTGGGGCCATCCATTCACAGACCGTCGATGGCAGAGATCTCTCAAAATGGTGCTACATGGGCTTAGAGTCCCCTAGCATGGGAGGACTTTCCAAGAATGTCATCAAAACAAAATAATACTTGATACAAAAACTAGAGATAATCATCCATGCTTGATCAAATACTTTTCAAAACAAAGCAAAGCTTTATCAAAATTTTATAACATAACTTTATTAAAAATACTACTTACATAGCTTTTCGGACGTCGGGGTTAAAGCAAGGATCCAAGACCTACAAATATATGGCAAAGCCTATTGAATGCACTCTTAAAAACAAGCTTTACATAAATGCAAATGATCTAGGGAAAACATGCTGGAAGTTAAAACACTGTTTTTCATCTAGGAAAAACATGCTGGGTACCAACCAGGTCTTGGAATGGATGCACAGAGATGATCTAGGCTAAAATGACTTAGCTGGGTGAACCCGGGAGGTCTTGGCCGAGATCCCACACCTCTTAGCCGAGGTGTGGTTACCTAGGCTTCAGTGTGCAACTGCCTGCTGAGGTGTTACAAGGTGCCGGCAAGGGTGTACTATGGTCGGCCTAGGTATGCAGTGGTTAGCCTAGGTGTGCAGAGGTTGGCCTAGATGTGCATGCAAGATAAACTAACGTGCAAGTGATCATGAAAGGTAGGCCAAGGTGAGATACGATGCTTGACCTAGGTGTGTGATCTAGGCAAGAGTGGTCTCGGTGATCACACCTAGGGAAATGAAGCTTGGAAATCTGGGTTTCCTCCTTGAAGAACATGAAGAACATGAGCATGAAGAACATGAATGCTAAAATCATAACTTGTTATTACAAGATCTGGGATTTCATGCTATGAGTTCGAAAACATGGACCTTGGTACCTATACTTGAAGATCATATGAAAACAAACACGAAAACATGGATCTTGATACAAACTTTCGGATCAAAACATGGCTTTTCCTCAAGAACACATGAATATTACTTTCTCTTTCTAAAACCGAACTTCAAAGCAATGCATGGCTCATGAAACATGCTAGATCATGCAATGCAGCTAGATGAACAATAAGAACAACAAGAGTAGACCAAGAATCTAACCTCAAAACACGAATCTAACGGTTCAAGGTGTGAAGATCAAGCTTGGAAATCTACCTCTCTCTAGAATTCCTCTTCCTCTTCCTAGAGTTTCTCTCTCTTCTAAGACAAGGATATAGCAAATGATATGTTTTTCTCTCTCTGCCGGCTGATTTAACCCTCTACCGGCTGATTTAACCCTCTACCGGCTGATTTAACCCTCTATAGGGACACGTGGCACTACCGGATAGGTTCTCCTCAAAAAGGTGATTGAAAGACAAGACAAGTGTATAACAAAGTGTGTATGACAAGCAAGGTGGCATGGGCACTCCGACAGGTAATGATCTCGGTTTAGGACATAGGCTTCAGCAAGTAAGGTTCCAATGACCTCGGCTAGGAAGGATAACACTTGACCTAGCTGTGCCACACCTCGGCCTAGATGTGCCACACCTCGGTCTAGGTCATTCCAGTCCCGGAACAAGATCACTAGGTGCAAGGACCAAGGATCTAGGATGCCTAGGTGATGCACACCTCAACCTAGATGATGACATCTCGGCCAATATGCCTAGGTGATGGTGGCGGTCAACCAAAGTGGTTCCAATATGGTCCTAAGGGTAAGAGGTTCAAAGGTGTGACCTAGGCTTGGCATGACCTAGGCTTGGCATGGCCTAGGCTTAACATGACCTAGGCTTGGCATGACCTAGGCTTGAGACAGCAAGGAAGGAACAAAACATGCATACAACACTTAGGCAAATCACATAAGCACAAAACAAGATAGGGACCTTTACATAGGCAAAACAAGTCAAAGTTTGCAAATGCAAGCTTAACAAGACAAAATCATGCAAATGTACATGAACACGACTAAGACATGAATGTGGGTTATTACATAATCACATCTTGCTCAACCATTGATTTTAGAGGCAATGATTTCAAGGCATTGGTCTTCGAGTTCATGGAAAATGGGAGTTTAGAGAGCTGGTTACACTCAAGTCTTTTAGAATAGCAGGAACCTAAGAAATTGAACTTTGTTCAAAGGCTAAACATTGCTATTGATGTGGCCTCTGCTTATGGATTATATTTACAACCATTGTGAAATGACTGTCATTCATTGTGATTTGAAGTCAAGTAATATTCTTCTTGATGGTTATTTGTGGGCCCATGTTAGTGATTTGACTTGGCCAAGATTTTTTCAGCAACCACCAGAATATCTAATCATCAACAATCAAGTTCTGTTGGGATCAGAGGAATAATTGGCTATGTTGCCCCAGGTAATTGTTTATATTTATAGTTCTTTGCATTGAAATTGGTCAACAAATGTTATTTAGTTTATTTATTGGTGTTCCTTTGTGGCAAACTAGAAACCAAGTACGAGTTTACATAGAAATCTAGTCACATATTAGTGATGATATAGATGATTCCCTTTTGCTTTACCATGTTGTGTGTCTTGCTACCTCGGCAAACTAAATCAACACTTGTCATATACTTGTGCCATCCCAACATATACAATTGACTAGTTCAAATATCAAACCAAAATTATAAAAATTGGGCACTTCTTTCATTGTTTCATATTGCAAAGTATGTGTAACGCCCCGAAAATTGGGTAGGGTATATCTCTTTATACAACAAACCCACCTGATAGACAAACACATATATATAGTTAACTATTCCATTCATCCATTTCTATTTAATCCTAAATGCCAAATACATGCTGTTCACATCTCAATGCTCCAGTTCCAATCCCAAGCATGCATTTTACAACAAGTATGAAATGGAAGTCAAATAGATAATAAGTGCCCTACAGGCTTGCAAATTTATCCAAGAACATTCTTGGTTACACAAATTGAAGTTTCAACTCAACGCAAATACAGCTCTGGGCTTACATTCAATAAATAACAATAAAAACAAAAATGAAGCCTCAGCTCCAAACCCTTCCAAGTCAGTGCCTTGGCGGAGGCATAGTATCTGTATCTGAAATGGTTTCCCTTATAAAGTGAGCCACAACCCAGTAGAGATACACTACACAGCATATGAACCATGACAAGACTAAAGAGGAATATGCTCATGCCATCTCATGATAAAACAATTTATCTCTCTCTTTTTATAAAGCATGCAGTGCTGAGATGCAACAACAGATATAAAACCATTTTCATTTTAAACCATATCTGTTACGTGAATACAGGCTCTGTGAATCTCTAGGTGAGTGTCTGCAAGTAGGCCCTAATGCACTACCACTGTCATTTTTACCAGTAAACTGGAAGGCTCGACACCTAATCGCATGGTTCTACACCCCCTACCCAGATCACCAAGTATTCATCTTTTCGCAAATAGATACATTTCCAAACAATTCTCAAATAACAGATACATTTCCAACGAAATGAATGTAATGCAATGTCCAATGCAACAAATGAGGAATGTGGTTCAATTTACCTAAGTCTTATGCATTTCTATAACAATCATGGCTATCCTCCACCAATAGCCCAAAACAGATATTTCTAAATAAATATTTAAACAATTAAATTCCAAAGAAATTTCTGATAAATACAATCTATTCCACATCTTATCAAATATCAACAACTACACTAGTTTTCATATCACAATCACGTCCGGTAACCTCTCAAGGTCCATTTCTAACCGTGTCGATTTTATTCCAACGGATACATTAAACAAAATAATACCGTTAATGCCCAAGAAAATATCATTTTCTTTCCAAACTCATTCTCCAAGCATTATTCAGTCATGACATCCTATTTTGATCGAAAGCCCCAAAAATTAAATGTAATTCCTTTGTTTTCTTTAAAAATGCTCTTTTGGTCACAAACTGGTAAAAATTTCAAAATCAATCGAACCGAAGTCCGTTTTTGTTCAAATTTAAAACATGACTCTTTCATAACCTTACAAACATATTCCAAGTTTACACTTTCATAATTTGGGCATCAACGTTTTATTTTTCTCAAAATTTCTCTTTTAAGCAAATAAATCACAATTTTTTTTTTTCAAAAATTCTAATTAAATTATATACAACTCTAAACTCCCTATAATAAAGTAAAAGTCCATGAAGAAGTGTAGAAAAAATCCTTACCTCAAGCTAGAAGGAGAAACAAGCAAAAATTCAAATTTTCGATTTTGTCGAATTTCGATCTCCACCGGTCAAAACATTGCTCTCACCAAGCTTTTCACTTTAATCTTAAGAACTATGGTCTAAAACCTAATAGATTTTGGTAGATCAAAGATTTCATATGATAGAAGTAACAAAAAAAAAATTCAGAGAGAGATAGCCGAGAGCCGAGAGAGAGAGGGAATGAGCTGTGCAATTGAAAAGAAGAATGAAAGAAGTAAAGAAGAAGAAAGAAGGAAAAGAAAAAAAAAAAAAAAAAAAAAAAAAAAAAAAAAAAAAAAAAAAAAAAAAAGAAGAAGATGACAGAGAGGAGAAAGGAGAAAGTAGTTATACAGTGGAGCTGGAAGGTGTCGGGAAGCTTCAAGAGTGACATCTGTATCGAGATGAGCGTAGGCAAATGTCCAAACTTGGCATGATCTGAGCTTTGGCCGCAAATGTCCCGAGATAATGGAATATTTGACAAATTAAAATTTAGAAAAATGTTTGGTAGCCATAATATTCGCAGCTCAAATGGCTCGAATTGACCAAAACGACATCGTTTTGTGTTGTTTTGTGTCCAAAACGACGTCGTTTTGATCAATTCGAGCCATTCGAGCCTGGAAAATTCGGGCCCTCTACCATTGCTGTTTTTTTAATAATGATTTGTCTATGAAAGTGGGGCCCAGGAAAGTGATATGTCATATTCCCTCCGTCTTAAAAAAAAGTTGAATTTCTCAACAAAAAAAAAAATTATTATTTTAGAACAAAAGAAGTACT